TCCTTCTTCAGTCAAGGCCTCTCACCATGTTCTCCAAAACATGCAACCATTCTTTCCATCATCCTCTCATGCCTTCTGCTACCACAATTTTTGTTTCTTCCTGAATCCCATCTACCCAACCAAGCAGGTTTTTCACTCCTTCACAACTTCCTGAGGTTTCTCTGGTGCTTTTCATCCACTTACATGGTTCCTAATCATATTTATAAGCTTGACTCCCAGATGGATCCATGTATCCTACACCAACTCTGGGGGAAAATGGAATCCAAACCCCTTAAGCCATTAATGCCTCTTCACCCCATTCCCAAATACGCAAGCTCTCCAACTCCTACACTTTCTACCCTCTCAAAAGGCATCCCAACCCTCACAGTAACCCTAAAACAACTGCTCCTCAAATCCCTCAAAACCAGGGCGCCTGGGGGGCTGTCGGTTAAGCATCTGCCTTTGGCTCAGGTCATGATCCCAGGGTCCATAAGCACAACCTGAGCTGAGCATCAGGTTCCCTGCTCCGCAGAGAGCCTGCTTCTCCCTCTCCCTCTGCTACTCCCCGTTCTCTCTCTCAACTAAATAAAATCTTTAAAAAAAAATCTCTCAAAGTCACATAGTTGACCAATAACCCACAGCTCAGGTCCACAACCCTGATGCCTGAAAAAACCAAACTCAGAACTGGCATCCAGCAAAGAAAAAGTGACACTACATAACCCTCCATGTTTCACCAAAAGCATGTAGATATACCAAGCAATTACACACTACATCCAAATATTCATTATACTAACTTCTTTCAACTCCCCACTCATAATACACCATTCACTTATCCCATAAGCACAAACCTACAATGCAGATGATTTTGGCAGATCCTATAATGAATATGTGATCTAATAATTTTCTGAGGCCAGCAAATAATTTTTCAGTAATAAGAACGATGTCAGGTTCTAGGAAGACCAAAAGGAATTCAGATTTCAAGTGTGTCTTTCAGATACTGACCAACTAGACTGATGGCAATACGAGCACACCAGACTGGCACTATATGCTCTCATGTTGCTGGTACCCTACACCCACATCTTTGTGCTACTAAAAGGAACAACAATCATACCAAGTTTTCACTAAAAGCGTACTGGAACATGTGAACTTGGGCAGCAACCTAAATCTGCTCTAACAGCAGAGTGATTTCATAACGCTCCCAGTAAACTTTAAATACATTTCAAACAACCAGACATATTAACATTCTTAGTTTATTGATCCTCTCATGAAAAATCTGCACAACCACCACAGATAAAGCCACTGCAGCATCTTTACTCCTTCTGTGAAACAAAGAAAAGGAAAAATTTAGTTAGTGAACCGCCTTTAAAACTCTTCTAAAAGTTAAAATTTAAAATCTTCAGCAAACTCCAAAATTAATGACATTCATGCAAAACAAGTATTAGTGACATAAAATGTTAAGTTTGTGATCGTAACACAATGAGAACATCAAGAAATAAAACTTGCAAACTTTCACATTAGAAATGAAACAAAGAATTAAAATTACTGTTTTAAAAACAAAACCATGTCACTACCAGTATTTAAAAAGCTACGATTCTTAAAAGGATTTGTAAATCAACTTCTAAAACTACTTCACATGCAAAAACACAAAAAACAAAACTTTTTCACATGCTCTAAACTTCCGAATTACTGTTATCAGTAAAGCCTAATGATCCACATGAAAAGCTTGAATTATACCTGTTGTCCAATCTCCAGCTCACTGAATCAGTGGCAGGGAAGGGAGAAAGCAGGGAAGAAGGAAAAGAAATACTTCATTAATAGTCCCTTTTCAAACTCCAAAATAATCTGCATTTACATGCATGCAATCAGATACCTTAGAAATAACTGTTTTTTTTTTTTAATTGTATACAAAGCGCTCTTCAGACACACTCATTTTTATTCTTCCCAATTTGGAGAATACCTCATGTGATTAGAGTGGTTCTTATGTAAACAAAGTGGCATGATGGTTTTACAATGAGGAGATCACCACACCAACAGCAGTGCCAATCCAGGCTACCACTGCCTACGCATACATGAAGTACACGTACCTGACCCTCAGCCCTCCTCCTCTGCTCAGCAACATCATGCTGGGCACACAAGCACCATCAAAAGACCCGGGAATCATCCCACACTAGAGTCTAACCTCAAAGAGAGAGTTCTAAATGATCACGCAAGTCTTTTAAAACCTGTCTCAGCTCAGTGCTTTAAAAGCTACTGTTCACAGCCACCAAAAGTAGTGCAAATTAGTTTTTTAAAAAGGCAGAACTGGACTGAAATGAAAATGCTTCAAATGCTCTTTAAACAAGAAACTATTTATTCCTTAACTTAAAACAACTCTACTGTACCCAAAAGGTAAGAGCAAATACCAATTCCAACACCCAAACAAGAACAGTTAAAAGTAACATTAGTAAGCCTGGCTATTTTGAGCCAAAGAATACATGGGCTCATTTACGCATTCATTTCCCAGCCAGTTTTCCAGAGCTATGCTAGTGAAATGCACCAGTGCAACCTGAAGCAGGAGTAGTGATGGCTCAGGTCCCCACAGGGACCGCCTCCACACGTCACCAGCGAAGACTAACGAGCACAAACACATGGGGCCCAAAAACCGAATGAAAACAAGAATGGGTTAAACATCCTTGGTTCTAGATCAGTCCACTGACTGAATCTTTTTTGCAACCTCGGCAACTTGTTGATAGGTATAAGCCTCACAAAGAGGGAGCAGTTCTAAGCAGCAAGTAGTTCCTCTGGCAGTTCATCCGTTACTAGGATTCCGTGGCTGGAAAGACAATGTGATTGGAGGCCTGGGCAGGCATACCAGATTTACTGCCTGGCAGGAGTCATTGTTAGAGAAAGCACACAGGGGCAGTGACTACCAGTGTTTCAAAACCCTACTAACCCCCAACCCCTCTAGGCTCACCTTACATGCTGATTTAGGCTGCTCAAATGTGCAAAAATGTATTTAACATGGGGTTGTAGACCATTCTGACCAAAAACTTATGGAAAAAGCGTATTTATCAGAGGCTTTGGTGTGAATACATAATTACCTTGGAATTGTTTCAATTGAAAGAAAAATGGACATCAGATGAAAAATTAGAGATCAATAAAAAGCAATGTAACAGTAAAAGGCAGCTTTGACTGAACACTTCCTGAACATAGGCTTTGCCAGATTTCCTAGACCAGTTTATTACCAGAGCTGCCAAAGGTATCAACCAGTACCCAGGGTCCCCAAGGGAAAGACTGTTGATGACAAAATGAGGCCCCTTCCCAAGCCCTGTGTTAACTAAAGCCGTTTCCGGGTATGTAACTCTGGGACACAGCATTTCCAAGTACAAGTTAAAAGATGCCTACTTAGTAGAGTACCCACCTTCCTCCACCAGGTCACTTCTCAACGTAACATGCATTTTTGAATTTCCAAAATAAACGTGATTAAAAGTTTCTCTCCCTTCCTCATAATACGCCATTTTAAAACAAAGCATTTAAATTGTAAGAGATCATACTACATAAAACTCTTGTTGTCCAAAAGCCAACATGCAAAGCATCAAAGCAAATTCAGTGAAGGTGATGCATCCCCACACCGTGCTCACAATCTCAGTACCTGCTAGACACTTCATTTCTGATGAACAAGAAATCCAAGAAAGTAGAGGGGAAAAGGCAAAAAAAAAAAAAAAAAAAGTTCACAGAACACTTGATTATTTGTTAATTTAACAACCCAACACCTTAATTTCATTCAACTATTATTTACAGTTAGCTAGCAAAGCTGGTAAAAAGCTGCTTATCATTAAAATCACTTAAATCTTGGCTAACTGGAGAGGAAAGCAAGTGAGATCCCAACTGCCTCTCCAGCATGCCAGGGAAACATGGGCCACATTGATTCAACTGCTTCTTAAACAAGTTATCTGTTTTAAACAAGTAAGTTTAATCTTCCCCTTTAACAGTCCAAACCAATTTGCAGTAAAATGAACACTTTTCCTGACAGGGCTTCCAAGGTGCCCACTAGGATCACTGAACCGATGTGGCCCCTGTGTTGTGCTGATCTGTGAGCTGATAGAGTGGGCAAAGCTACTCTAGTGAGGTGTTATACTACATCATGTAGCGTCTCAAAACACGTTACCTTCTGTAATCCAGAAGAAGTGGGAAAAGAAAAAACATTAAAAAAAGATTATTAAAAAACAAATCCCTCCTTTCTAGAAACTAAAGACCTGCAATTGACATTTCTGTATTCTCCTTGATGAACAATACCTTTTTGCCAGCACCAACGTTGGCTTTTGCAGTCCCCCTGACTTTCTTCATTCTGTTCTTACGTTCCTTTCGCTGTTTTCTTGATGTCTTTTTCTTCTCATACAGGCCATGCTAAAGAAAAAAGGAGTACCTTTTAAGTGACTTGCAAACATCAACTCAGCATTAACTAATATGGGAGGGACCATAACCAAGTCAGGTAGCTCAAGAAATGCAGCTTCCCAAATCAAAATTGTTTCAAGTACATTTAACAATACTTGTTTGTACATTTTAAAACAGCAAAGGTAATCCAATTGAGACACAGTATGTACAAATCAGCGGCACAGTACTCAGATGTGCTCTCAACACTCCAACCAACTCATCTTCACTCTGCCCATTTTTGCACTTGCCGTTCCTGCTGCCCAGACTGCTCCCAAATCTTCACACAGATCTCAGCTTAAAGGTCACCTCCTCAACAAGGCCTCTCAGACCACCCAACTAGAGTGCAGCATCTGTCTACCACACCACCATGATTTCCCTCTCACGGTGTTCTCCTGGAAGACTTATCTGATGGCAGTGAAGAAGAGTTAGAGAAAATCATAAGTAGTACTTCAAAATAATAATCTGCAGTTTATGATCTACAATCTAAGGGCGCCTGCTCAACTCCTTGCCGTAGTTCACTGTAGTGCTTGTCACTTAGGAAATGATCAAACTCAGACTTTTAGAACTGAGAATCTCAACTGGGTGCCAACGCTTCCAAACCCATCCCCCTATTTCCAGCTCCTATCTCCACAAGTACTACATTACTTGTCCTTCTAGACCCAGCTCAAAGGTCACCTCCTCAAAAGCTGCAGACCCCATTACTGAAGCCCTGTACTCTATCTATATATTTATCAAACAACCTTCTCTCTTAACCACTTTAGTTCCTTAAGTCTGAGGGCTGTCCTTCCCCAGACTGCTTGCTCTTGCTCATTCCACTGCACCCACAACACAATGCTATTGAAAAACAGTCTTCAGCAGCTGTTGAACAATGAGAACACCTACTCTTGCAAGTCTGTGTTTGGGTTCATTTTTCTTTGCATAATCCAAAGAATCATAAATCATGCCAAAGCCGGTTGTCTTGCCACCACCAAAATGGGTTCTGAATCCAAACACAAATATGACATCTGGTGTGGTCTTGTACATTTTGGCTAGTTTTTCCCGAATTTCTGTCTTAGGTACCGTTGCCTTTCCAGGGTGAAGAACATCAATGACCTAAAAAGAAGTAACCGCTGTTAGTGCTTATTATTACAAAATGAGTTTTTTGAAACAACAAACAATGAAACTTTGATGTGCCCTTTCTTACCATCTGTTTCCGCTGAAGTAGTCGGTTAGTCATGAACTTCCTGGTCCGGATAGTTACTGTGTCATTCTAAAAACACACATAATGCACTAGTTAATGAACCACTCAACCTTTTCTTGAGCCTGCTGAGATTTTTCCAAGATACGGCACTGCCAATGGGTACCCAAGCCATATGTGGACAACTTATAAACATGAAGTCACATTTAAGATGCAATTCCGCAGCTGCAGGCGCCACATTTCAAAATGTTCAAGAACCACACGAGATAGTAGCGGGAATGCTTCCATGAAAAGAAAAACCCACACCCCCCCCAGTGCCTAACTCCTAAGACACGTCTAACACTTACGCTCAGTACTAAGAGAACGCACTCCACAGCTTTCTGGAATCTTCACTTTGCTGTAGGCATCACTTTGGAGCAGGGTTTCTCAATCTCAACACTACTACTCTGGTCCCACTACTTCTCTGTGGGGACTAACCACTAGAGGCCAGTAGCACCCCCCAACTCCAGTTTTGATCAAAAATCCCTCCAGATTTTGCACGGTCCCCTTAGGAGCAATTAAAAAAAAAAACACCCTGAGGGGACTTGCAGATAAAGTCGAATTAGAAATAGGTGCTGAACCTTTACTGACTAGAGCTCACTCCTCATGTACTTAAGGCAAGCTTTCTGGAGGCCTCCCTTTACAAGGGCCTCGGTTTCCGCAAAGTACAAGAGGTTCCGTACGGCTAACAATGTTTTAGCTTACACATGGGAACAGCTTCACTCGCCACAACTCGCCCGGGCGCCCTCGGCACCCACTTCACCTCTTGGGTTGCCATCACCTCCAAGCCATCTATCCCAAACTGAGAACGCAGGTGAGATGGGTCTCACCCCTCCCCGCCCAATCCACTAGGCTCCACGAAGCCGAAAAACGCAACAGGTGCCCTGGCAGTCCCCAAACCCTGGCCTCTGAAGCCCGGTGTGCCCCGGCTCCGGGACTCTCGGCAACCAGCCTCCGTCAGACACAGCCAAAAAAAGAGCGACGGGACTTCGGGCGGCCGTAGCACAAACGGCAGGACCCGAAGACGAAGGATGTCTCAGATACGGGCCGGATAACTGCATGGGTTTGGGGAGACTCACCATGATGGCGGCGAGGCTTCAAGCAGCCGGGGAGAAAAAGAGAACCACTATTCGCCGGCCAATCATATCAATGCGCACGGAAGGCCCCCGAGCGGCGCCGGCGTGGGGGCGTGGTCAGGCCCTCGAGGGCGGCCGCGCCAATGCCAGATCGAAAGTGCCTAAGGCCCGCCCCCACGGATCTCCCGCGGACTAGATTTACGCAAGCACATGTTCAATTTCAGTTCAATTGGCTGTCCTGAATTTCCCGTACTTAGAGTTATGGTAAACCGAATTATAGTTTAGGAGATGCTGTCGACCAGCCTCCTCATTTTATAACGAGGGAAACTGCAGAAACCCGACTCAAAACCTTTGTTATTTCAACAACACAAAACTGACCGTTTTAGTTTATTGCTAAGTATTGCTTTTTTTTTTTTTTAGATTCTCTGGTAATTTTATGTATGAAAAATAAAAAATTCTTCCTTTGTGTTTTTCTGAAAATCTTAGTCCTTCCCCTCACAAATGAGCTTTTATCAGTGTTTGATCTATAAATTGTTAGTTGTTTAAAGTGACGTGGTCATGCAAAAATAAAGAACATATGTGCATGTTCAAAAAGAGACATTAGGACTTCTAAAGGTCAGTGTGGCAGAGGAGACAAAGGTGAAGGCTTTGAGGATAGCTTTTCTACATTTTTCAGAATAACAATAGTTAATATTCATTGAGTGACTGCTATGTGCCTGTTACATTCTAATTACTTTCACACTCATTTTGCCATTTGACCTTCCCACTAACTCTAGGAAGTAAGGTACTGATTACTTACCCCCTTTACAAGATGGGGAAACTAAGACACAATGAGGCTAAATAACATTCTCAAGGTCACAAGACTTTAGGTGGTTGTACCCAGGGAGGCACGGTGGTTCCAGAACCTTGCTTCTAACCTCTATATGATAAAAGCCACTCGTCCAATCTTGTTAGTATAGTATTGTCTACATTATTCCAAAGGGATTTTAAGTGATTAACTGCTGAAATAAGTAAAGTCTGATTTGCTTTGCTTTTTGTCTGTTACATTTGTGTTTTCCTATTGAGGATGCATGGAGTTTGAATAGCATCCCTTCTTAAAACTCAAAGGTGTTGAACCACTTGATTTGGTTCTGTCTAGAGTGTCTCACAAATAGTAAAGAAGTTTCAGGATCTGTAGCACTAGATCCTACAGTAGTGTGGTTTCCTTGGTAGTATCATGTGCTGAGATGTCACACTAGGATCACCTCCCACAGGTTGTCACAGACTGTGGGCAAGCAGTTTATTTCTTCAATACATTAACGATCTTCAATTCTTATTCTCCCCTCATCTTGTTTCCCTTGCTCACCATGACTGACTTTTCGCAGATTTATAGCTTCTGTTTTTGTTATCAATAATACAAGTTTAATTCATTTCTTTCATTTCTTTTTTTAAAGTAACTTTGTAAACTGCATGCATGGCCGTGTTTCTGACCTCTTTATTTCCTTTGGTGGTCTTCCAGTTGGTACCTCTGTTCCCTGGGCAGGTTCATTTTAGTCTCCCCCTTTACTTAAAAAAAATCAGAGGGTCTTAATTAAGATGGTTTTGATGTTGATAATGACGATTTTCCATTTTATGCAGTTTTGGTCTCTCTGATTGCCTAAATGTTCTGAGGCAAGGCGTTGCAAGCACTCGGCAGGGGTCACATGACCTGGAGAACCGAACCGCTAAAGGGCTTTTGAAATTACAGAACAGGCCCCGGTGCAGTTTCAAAGAGGTGCCGCAAGATGGCAGTGTAGGGAAAAGGCAGAAAGCGCCCTGTCCGAAGCCCTCTCTTGACTGACAGACGCGCCGGCGAGTAGCGGAAGAGGAAGCGACCACGTGGGGCGCTCTACGGTGGCCGACAGGATGCCGCCGAGGTGTTAGCAACGAGGAGAGAAGCACCCTCGGGAGGTACGGCGAGCTACGTTTCTCTAGCTCCGGGAGTATCGAGGAGGGTACCCCGGCAGCCGTCACCATGGTGAAGGAACAGTTCCGAGAGACGGATGTCGCCAAGAAAATGTAAGGAGGAGCAAGAATAGCCGAAGGGTGGAGAAATGAAGGACAGGGGGTGCGAGGTCCGGGGTCCCGGGTCTCGAAGAGTCCATTGAAAGGGAAGGGCCAGGAGTCAGCGGAAGGTGTGGGCAAAGATCAGAAGTATCAGGGTAGGTCAAAGAAAATTGGTCAGGCAGAGGGCAATCCAGCACCTGGGGGACAGCAGGCGGGGGGTGGTCCCTGGGCTTGGGATGTGACGTGAGCCGTGGCGATGCGCGCACCGTGGACCTACGCACGAGTCCTCCCGAGGTCATACGATGGCCTCTTCCAGCGAATCGTGGGGAGCAATCTGGGGCGGGGAATGTGTCTAATTCTGGTTTTGCTGCAGAGCATGTTAACACGGAGGCAGTATTTGCTGACTGAAAGGATAGAGTTTCCAGTTAGAAAGCTATACCACTGGGTGATGTGTAGCAGTCTCAGAAATGAGGCTGCTCTTCTGGACCTTCTCCTTCGGAGCTTATTTATCAGGCCGTGGCCTCCCCTTAGAGCTTACACGGGAAAAATGAATCAGTCATTCTTGTAACAGACGCTTAACTGAGGAAGGTGTTGTGTGCGAGGCCCAGGCATAAGCATTAGGGCTAGGACACGAATAAGACCTTACTGCCTCTTCCAGTTGGAGAAGATAGACAAGTCAGTGTTGGCAAGTGCAAGGACAAGTGTAGGTATAGTTATTTTCAGAACACCTGATGAGAAAGAGATTCAAGCAGAAGAATGCAGACCAAACAGGCTTTAAAGAGCATACTGGAGGGAGAAAAGGGGGGATGAGAAGAAAGCAGGAGATCTGAAGCTGTGTTCCAGAATTATCTTGGCACCTCTGTGCCAAGGAACCTCTGAAGCGTTTTAAGCAGGGGAGTGTCTTGATAAAAGAGTTCTCTTTTTCTCGAAGGTCTCTTGATTTTGGGGGGGACAGAATAAGAGGGAGTCATTGGATGCCACTGCAGGGGTCCAGGCAGGGGATGATGATGTCGTGTGGTAATGTCATTGGAGAGATGGATTTCAGAGGGGTTTAGGGTGTAAAATTCACAGGAGTAGTAGGAATGAGAGAAGGGAGAAATGAGATTGACACACAGAATGTCTTGCTTGGGCAGTTGTTTGCATTAATGGGGAACAAGTCTTACTTGGAGGGAATCCTTGCAGGTGATCTCTCCATATTCACCCCAGCCCCTCATGCCCACCCCAAACCCCACCCATATTCAGATGTAATCTGTTCTCACAAAGCAGCCCAAGAGAGCCTGTGAAGATGCAAATTAGATTTCTGACTCTTCAGTTTAAAACCTTCCAGCCGCTTTCTGTAGCACTAACATGTAAATTCTATACCAGTGCTCCCAAGCCCAGCATGACCTGACCCCATACACCGCACTGACTTCATCCTGTACCATTAGCTTTATGCACTCTATTATACTGGCTTGGTTAGTTTGGTCGTCGAATGCCAAGCTTGTGCTGAGTCTGGGACCCTTTGCCCTTAATGATTCTCTATTTCAAATGCCGCATCTCCGTCCCGTCTTAAAGCTGGCTCCCTCTTATTCAGAATTCAGCTTCAGTGTCAGTTTTACACAGGGGCTTTCTGACCCCACAACATAGTTTCCTCAGACTCTCTACCACTTCGTCTCATTTTCATTCTCTGCATCTATTCACTTTTGTGTTTGTATTTGCTTATTGTTTGTCTTGCCCACCCTGAACTGTGAGTTCCATGTTGGCAGGGACCTTATCTGTCCCATCTCATCTGTATCCACAGCTCCTCAAGATGGTGCCTGGCACACAGTAAGTCCCCAGTTTGCTGGTCAGATGATTGAAGGAGCAGATTTGGGGACGAAAGTGTCGGGTTCTGTTTTAGATGTGTTGAGTTTGAGGTGCCTGTGCAGTTGCGCAGAACAGGTGTTCAGATGGCCTCCCACTGAGTAGCAGTAGTTGGCCTAAAGATGGAGATTACATGGACATTAACATATACCTGAGTGACAGTCACTCGAGGGACGTCTACAACAAAAAGAAGGGGTTGAGGGTCAGATCCCCAGGTGAGGAGAGATCAGAATATTTAAGGGATGGCGTAGAAGAAGCAATCACAGAAGAAGGAACAGATGGCACAGGGCGGGGACACAGAGTATGTGGTGTCCCCAAGGCTGTAAGAGGAAAATATTTCAGGATAAGGGGGAAGGCGGAGTTAACATCCAGCACTGCAGAGCCGTAAGATGAGCACATTCTTACCAGGATTTAGCACGCAGGTGGGTTTGGTGACCTTGGTGAACACCATTCATTTGATATTAAGAATGGAAATGATTTCAGGGGGATGAAGGGGTGTTTACCAAGGAAAAATGGGAGAGACTTGAATATATTTAATAATGGAGCAGAGCCTGTAAACAGTTGGAAGAGTAAGGTTGGTTATGATGGGTCACTGTGCAATCACCTTTTTTGATAAGTGGTTTTGACGTAATTGGTCCTGTTTGTTGTTGTTGTTGTTGTCATTTTTAATTAAGTAAGCTCTATGTCCAGCGTGGGATTTGAACTCATAACCCGAAAATCAAGAGTCATATGCTCTCCTGATGGAGCCAGCCAGG